TGAGCACTTAAGTTGCTCCCATGTCTTGGCTTTGTAAATAAGGCAGCCCTGAACATAAACATGGAAATGCTTTTTTGAGTAGGTGCTTCATTCACTTTGGATAATTACCCAGAAGTGTGACTGCTTGGATCAGATGATAGTTCCATTAGCAATGTTTTGAGGAACACAAAAATTGGGCCACCGGATAGTGACACAAGCCCTTTCTTAGGAGGTGCTGACTGATTGGAAGGAAGCAGAACTGGAGCTTGAAAACCAGCCACTGTCCCTGGAGAGTATTTTGCAGGCTAGAAGTACATTAAAACAGATGTGTGCTCTTCAGCGCAACACTTCAGAGGAACAAAGCAACAGGACTAGCAGAGGCTGGGTGCTCTTTAGCTCCCAACTCTGCACTGGGATGGGTGCTTCTACAAGCATTAGTACTTTTATTTACTTTTGTTTTGGGACCACACCAGCGATGCTCAGTGTCTACTCCTGGCTCTGAACTCAGAGATCACTCCTAGTGGTGCTTGAGGGAATCGTATAAGATGCCTGGGAATGAACCCGGGTCAGCCACATGCAAAGCACATACCTTGCTTGCTGCACTCTCTCTCCAGCCCTGCATTAGTGATTTTAGATTTCTCAGCTCACTGTAGCCTCTGGGCCACACAAACTCAAGCCCTGTGGCTTTCAGAGTTAGATGTTTGAGGCCCATCTCTCCCGTTCAGCTGGCCTCCATTCCCAAGGTTGTAACCCTTTGCCACTCAGGCAAAAGCTTAGGTTTGTGATTTCCTTCTTCGCTGTGGGTCCCTAGACGGGTGATGGGGTTCAGGTGAGATTCTCAGTCTTTCTTGCTACTTTGATGTATTTTTTGTTCCTCTTTCACCTGATGTGCTAGTTTTTGGAGTTTCATATATCTAGCATACTGTTACGGATGTACGGGATGGATGCATATCCCTCTCAGGCATCTCTGGCGGAAAAGTGGAATTCGAGGTCTTTCTATGTTGCCATCTGGAACGGGAACTTTGTATTTTGGTTTCAGTTAAGGATCAAGGAGTCCCTGAGGGGAGAATAATGTTGAGGGAAGTGGGGCCCAGGGGCCTATAGGGATTCTCTGACAAGCTATCTTTCACATAGGGGCATCTGCCTGTTTCCCTGCCTCTGTCTCTAGGCTTGACCCTACTCTATTCCCAGTCCTAGCTGTTAGGAAGTCTGGGAGCTTCCACTGGGGTCTCTGGGAACTCCCAGTGTGACCATGCTGGAGAGAGCATATGAGGAAGCATTGAGTTTGCAGCAAGACGGTCAAGGCAACTAGTGAACCCAGCCTCCCACTGTCCCCACTGGGAGGCCAGAAGTCTGAGTGAAGCCACTGTGAGCACTCTTAACCTGCCCAGCTGAGGACCCAAGTTCATACCACTTGGAGCAGGAGAATCAGTGGGTTGAGCCCAGTGCAAATTTCTCACTTGTCTAAGCACTGTAAACCACCATGAACAAAGTAATCTAAGTGACCAGAGACCATGGTGACAACGATGACAGGACAGGGTCCTGCCTGGTTGTCAGGGGCCCTCTGTGACCATGGCAGACAAATCAGGAGCTCTTTGGACTTTGACCATGGCTTATATGTGGGGACTTGACTGTTTCTGTTCTTTGATCTGATGCTTCAGCAAACAGACTGTGAGGACCTTAAACATGGGCTCCCAAGAGATGGGCTTAGAGGTATATTCTTGTAATCTCTTCTTTGTCTTTTGGTTGCTGGAAATGGAGACCAGCATGGAAATTGGTGACTCCCGTCTACTCACCTACAAAGATGTAGAACTAGCAGCAGGGTTTGACAGCAATACCAGTAATGAGATCTGATTAGACAGGAGTGTAAAATTAACATTGTTACAGTTTATCCTAAGGAGGAAAGAGTGTTATAGACAATATTTAGAAGTTGGTTTTGAAACAAAGATTTTAATTGGTTTCCATTGAGCTTCTTAGTTGATGAAGGGAAAACCTGCTGTGTACTGTGTGGGGTGAAGTTGAGAACTTTGAGCTCTGAGTCAGCAGCTCCTCAGAATGGAGCTTCCTTCCTTCCAGCCACTGTCCAGGTACCTCAGGCCAGACAACTTGCCCCCCTCTCCCCTCCTGCCACTTGCCTCTCCTTATTCAGAAAAGCTGGCCAAGGGTATCTAAAAAGTTAGGACAGAGTTTCTCCAAGAGAGGTTCAGGAGCTAGATCTGTCATAAACATTCCGGTGCTTGTACAATTAAGACTGCAACTCTCTCAGAACCATGCACACCAACCCTCAGAGCTGGGGCCAGGATCAGGGGTTGAACCTCCCCTCCCCATCTCCAGTCCCCACTCCCCCTCCACCATCTCACACACCCTTGGTTAGTGCCAACAATGCCTTCTTCATTCTAAAGACCATTGGCATGGCCTTCTTCAAGGGTCTTTCTCTTCAGATTCAGCCCAGTGGAGAGACAGGCATTTCTTATTTCTTGAAGTCAAATTCATGGGAAAGACATACATTGCCTCAGAAAGAAGATTTAAGTTAGTTTTCTTAATTTCCTTCCTTCCTTCCTTCCTTCCTCTTTTCCTTCCTTCCTTCCTTCCTTCCTTCCTTCCTTCCTTCCTTCCCTTTCTTTCTTTCTTCTTTTCTTTCTCTTTCTTTCCTTCTTTCTCCTCTCTTCTTTCCTTCCTTTTTTCCTCCCTCCCTCCCTTCCTTTCTTCCTTCCCACAACAGAACTCCAGAGGAGTTCATCACCCCCATTTTAGGCCTGTTTAATTGGGGAGGTGACCAAACAACTTTTTTTTTTTAAAAAATTTTTTTTTTTTACAGTTGTAGATTTACAATTTTTTGTGCTTGGGTTTCAATTATACAATGATCAGATACCCATCCCTCCACCAGTGCCCGTTTTTCACCACCATGGATAATATCCCTCCCATCCCCATCCCCCCATCCCCCCCTGCCTCTGTGGCAGGGCAATCCCCTGTGTTCTCTCTCTCCGTTTGGGTGCAAACAACTTTTTAATCCTCTAATTAAACCTACTTGCAGTTGGTCTCCCATCCTCAAGGTCCCTCCCACCTCACTGTCCAGGCAAAGAGTGGCAGAATATGAGGATGGCAATTGCCTGCCCTTTGTGCTGTTGGGCCTGTTCTCATGCCGCTTTGTTGTAGCAGACTTATGTGAAGTCAAAGTGGGGAAGACTGTTCTGTACCTACAAATCACAACTGCTGTGTATTGAACAAAAGTTCAGCCCCAGTTTTAGTCAATTTCTGTAAAATTTATTTTGGGAGGCCCAGAAGTTCTCCCCCTGCTCCCCACCACCAAGTGGTTACCGACTGGGCCAGTGGTTCAATGTGAGGACCCAGAATGCCATGTTGCTTGGGCCTTCAGGCCAGGGATGCCCTGGACCCCCCGCAGTGTTGGGGAACTTCCAGGGCCACTCCGGTGATCCTTGGGAGCCTCTAGGGTGGCATCTGGTGATACTCAGGTAACCAGGTGGCAATTTTGGGAATTGAACTGGGGTTGACTGCACACAGGGCATGTGCCCTAACCCTTCTACTACCTTTCTGGTCTCTCAATTGTCTTTGTGAGTCTAAGTATTCTCCATGGGTAGGTAGTTCATGGGTGCACAATTCAAATAGGGGAAAGGGAGCCAACATGACCATGGACATTGTTTTTTGAAAATAGCATAAAAAAAAGCCAAGTTTTTCCTAGCACTATGTGTCCTTGATGGAGGTGTGTGAGCTTGTGCTTCAATCTGTGTCATTCATTGTGGGAAGCAGAAAGCAGCAGAGTCACTGAGATACTAGACGTTTAGGGAACATCATTCAGTCTTTAACCTAAGGCAAATGGCCAAACCTTGTGGGACCCATTTTCTCTGCCTTATTTAAAAACAAGATTCTGTGGTCCACAATGTTATTAATGATGGCTTATCGTGCATGTAATTCCAACACTCGCCCCCCCCACCACACCACCTCCCTCTCCCAAAAACCACAATACGCCCGCCTCCCAGCCTCCACTGCCCAACTTAGTTGTGTGGCTCAGTTCTCTCATCATGTTGCTTTTGACTTCTTGTTGCTACTTTCCAGTGTGTCTTTAAGTCCCATGTATGAGAGAGAGATCATTTTTTATCCCTCTCCTTCTGATTGACTTTACCCAGTATGATAGCTGCTAGTTCCTTGCCTTGGATTATTTTATGCCAGTTGAAGGAGTTGATTATCCAACCCAATCTAATTTGTTATCACCGTGAGCATATCTAGAATGTGACCAATCGCCCCCGATAGTCAGCTCTTGCATGGAGCTCCCCTGCCTGTACTGCCCTGACTCCCCACAGGCCAATGGCACCTGCTTCCAGGACTCTCAATTCATCAGCCCTCCAAAGAGTAAAATCATGGTCTCAGCACCACTCTCCTGCTGCTAGTCAGAGTATCTTGTGTCCTCCAGTTTTCCTGTTATCTTTTGCTTCAAGAGCATGCAGAATTGTTGGGCCCAATAGAAGGACGAAACTCTAGTCAGCTCTCAATTAGCTGCATCAATGGAGAGGAACAATGACGTGATCGATTTAAAACATTTGGTTCCATTTGGCTTTGGGGTGCATTATGATTTTTTTCAGTAGATTAACTTTTCTAATTATATTTTGCACAGTCTAATATTATCAGACATTTGTATTCCCCAAGCACGCAACATCTAACACCAAGAGTTGGGAGAGGCAGTCAAGACAGCCCAACAACGCCGGTCTCAGGGAAGGACAATGCTGTCATGGAAAATCCACACATGGATAATGAAGGGGGAACTAATTATAAAGGGCTCTGCAAATATTAAATCATCAGCGGAGAAGGGCAAATTAGGAATTCTCTATGGACATGTGCACAGAGAATAAAGAGCTTATTAAAATTCTAAAAGGCACAAAACTTTCATGAATCATTGTTAGCGTTAAGGGCCCTGATGAAAATCAGGATACAGAGAGGGTCCATGAGTTACCGGGTGGTCTTTCGAATAAGAAAACCTCAAGCAATAATACCAAAGTGTTTTAAAAGAGCGTTTAAAATGAATTTTATTGTTTGAATTTTACAAGTAGTCTTTAAAGGCTTCAAACAAGAATTCTGTTGCAAAACTCTAATAAATAGCTTGCCCCCAGTCCCCAAACAAAATCTAAAACAAAATAAAAAACAAACTCAGGAGGAGAAGCAAGAATTCAGAATGCCAGGAGGTTAGCGCTATTCTTCATTTACAAAACGTTATCAGGCAATGTACACGCTCCTTCATACAATCAGAAAAGAGACAGTCGAGATCTTTACAAAGCACTCTGCAATCTTCCTATTTCCATGATAGAAATGTCACCAGAAAAAAACAAAAAGGTCATGGAGAAATTACAATCATGAATGAAACTATAGCATCAAAGTCTAGGGGAGGGGAAGGAAGGGTGGGAAGGAGTAAGAAACTCCATTGATTCTCTCGGGGATGGAAGAAGGGAGGGCAGGGGATGACTTGGAGCCAACATCCCAGGTGGTTGGATGTTCTCTTAGACCACAGTCGCCACAGAAAGGGCACAGGTGTCAGTTTAAAGGAAGGCAAGGAACAAGGTCACCAGAGGTTCTGCTCGGGTCTCCCAACTCTGGGGGCCCAGGGTCCCTGTGCTCGGCAGGAAAAAGAACACGGATCATTTCTGCCGCAGAAGCCTCTGGCTGGCCGCAAAGGGGGCAGGAAAGGCGGCCGCTGCACTGGGCGCACGGGACATGCAGGTTTCAGGAGCCCGTTGTTCCGTTTCATTCATCGCTCCTAACAAGCAGGTGTCACATTTACCAGCTCACTTCTCTTAGTTACAAATATGGGTGCAATCTGGCTTTTTAGAGAGCAGGATTTATTTATTAATAAATCGATTTGCGTACACTAAAACATACCAATTTGGACATATTTGTAACTTTAAAAAAAATCTAAATCCAAACTTCTACTTTCCACCAAAATGCATACAGATGATAAGGTTTTAGATTGGAGCAATGCTGAAACCAATTAGCGGTTGGAACCCGGAAGCTGTGGCACGGAATCAGGGGTTCCAATTCCGAAGGATGCACTTAAGTCAAAGCGGCACAGAGCGCCCCTAGCGGAGGGAGGCGGAATCACAGAGCGGGGCTGAAAAGCGGGGGCGACCCCCAGGCACTGGCGTGCTCCCACGCTCTGGTTTCTGGACTCGCTACCGTTCAACCACCGCCCCGCTGAGCTCGGAGATGGGTACAGCCAGCACTAGCTCATGCACAAGTCATTCCAGGGAGGCAGGCATCTCTTACAACACCTCCCTCTGCAGGCAGTTTAGAAAGGAAGGGCAAGGAAGCACCCCTCCCCATTCCCCAAAGAAACAGTTTCAAAAAACACTTTTTTTTCTAGGAACAATGATATTAGTGAGGAGGGGAAGCCTGGGTTACCTGAAAATAGAGAAGAAAGAGCTGATGGAAAGAGAAGCAGATGGGGGTGACAGGGGGACTCCAGTCCCAGGCCGGGTCTCTGCTTTTTTTTTTTTTTTTGTAAAATACATAACAGATAAAGATATTGTGCAAAAAAATAAAGACATTCACATTTTAGCAGTTAAATTTTTATTTTACTTTTTAATTTTTTATTTGCTTTTTTTTGTTTGTTTTGTTTTTCTTTTCTACAAAAGGCAGATAATGATTGTTGATCTGCAACTGTTGTCGGCTCCTGGAAAGGAGGCGGCAGTAGCCAGGGTGGGAAACTGGGCGGGGCTAGGGCATTGCTCAGAATGAAGGGTGGGCGGCATGACTGGGAGGGGGGCAAGCCCTCCCTGGAGAGTGCCCAAGCCTGCCGCCGCCCCAACCACCCCTTCTCCGTCCCCTGCAGCGCTCCTAGCTCATGTCGATGGTGTTGAAGACCCACTCCGTGAACTTCTTCAGCTTGTCCGACGCATTCTGGGACTCCTCCTGTAGCCGCAGGTTGTCCTCTCGCAGGTGCTGCACTTCCGCCTGCAGGTGGGCCTTGTCTTCCTTTTCCTGGGGGACAGAGCAGGGCAGAGAGAGCACTAAGGGGATGCCCCGGCCTGGCTCTCCTGTCCCAGTCCCGCACCCTGGCCTGGGTGAGGACTTCTGGGGTGGAAATGGCAGCGGCTGTGCTGGGTAGGAAGGGAGCCAGCGCTCAGAATGGTGGTCTGAGATTTCAGACCTTGCCGAGGGCACTGAGGCCCTGCTCCAGGAGACTCTCTGGAAGTGGGAGGTGGTCGTCTGGGTGTGAGCGCTGGGACACCAATGGCAGGGGCTAGCTGAGGGGTGTAGACCCCTGACAAGGAGCAATGCCTCTCCTGCACATCTGTGGGAGCTGAGTTGCAAGCAGCACCCTCTGGCCGTGAGAGCTCAGGGAAAGCAGGGACCACAAAGACTATTTTTAAAAGGACAACGCGGCTCAAGGGCCTGCTGCAAGCCCTGGGCATGTTGCTTTGGGAGTCGTGGTTACCTTCTTCAGATCTTCCCGAAGCATCTTCAGCATACCTTCCAGCTGGTCCACTTTAGAAGCCAGAGTGGGAGATGAATCTTTACTGTTGGGAACAAGGAAGAAAAGGTCAGGTTGGCAGCCACAGGGGATGGGGGTGGGGTGGGGATGGGGGGTGGGGGGAGGCAGGGTTTGCTTGAGATGCTCTTAGAGGTGGCTGAACATTTTCACTAACATTTAGCTCCACATGTTCATTCCCAGGGAACCAGGAGCCAGCCACCACCCTCACCCACAAAGATTTAAGATGTTTGCTAAGCCTTTCGCAGGAAAAGTCTGTGCACTCCAACCTCTCTGTCGAGGCATCATCATAAGAAAATGTACATTTTGGGATTTCCCTCAGATTTGGCAACATTTTTTTTAAGTTTCAACAGCCAGACTAAGAGCTACAGTCGCTACTCTCCTGTACTCTCTTCTGAGAGTGGTTCCTCTAAGACTCCTCAGGGCGAAGAATCCTATCTCAAGTTCTGTATCTGCAACATGAACCAGCCTCCCTTTCCCCATTACTGTTTTTAACCACGTTTTATGGATACCTGCATTCTGTATTTTTCCCCCTTCCATTTGTGGGCCAAATCCAGGTGGACTTGGGGCTTATTCCTGGTTCTGTGCTCAGGGATCATTCGTGGCAGGGCCTGGGGAACCATTGGCTGTGGCAGGTATTGGACCCAGGTGGGTCACTTGCATGGTAAGTGTCTTACCACCTATCCCTCTGCCTGATATGTGCATTCTGAATCAGCCTTCAAAGATTAAAAGGGAAGAAACTCTTCATTGATGAGGTTAATCTGCACCAAGAAGCCTTCTCTGTGCTACATATGGTGGCTGGGAGCCCTCACATGTATGAAGTGCACATATTTATCCCATGACCTCCTCATATGAAACAGAGGGAGAGGTCAGGCTGGCCCTGGCACAGCTAGAGAGAAGCATGAAGTCACATCTCAGAAGCAAACCCACTGGGTGCGGTTTTTACTGGTTTACTTATGAAGTTACAGGGAATCTTTGTCGGGGAGCTTACTCCTAGCTCTGTTCTCAGGGATCACCATTCCTGGTGGGGTCAGGGATAAAACCCGGGTGTAAGAGAAGCACGCTCCCTGTTCTCTTGCTCCAGCCCGTGTTGCAGGGCTTCTTGACTCTCCTTTGTCCCAGCTTTCTAATGTGGGTGGTTGCAGGAGCACACCAGGGTGGCTCAGACACGGGCAGAAGTCATCAGGTGACACAAACAGCCGACCCCAGGGCTCCATGCACGCATGGGACTCCTCAGTGCAAATGAGTTCTCTTACCTTGTGAGAGGACTTGAGGGCACAGAGGTATCATGGCATTGAGTGATGACTGCTCATATCTGTGACTTCAAGTTCCATCAGGATGTTTAACTGTGTTGCCAGCACTCTGTTACAGTACGTCCTAACTAAAGTGTCACGTGTCTGACAGTACAGGGCTAATCCATGTGGTCTCCATCTCTCCCCCACATCTGCTGTCACTAGTGGAGGGGACACAGGGGTGCAGAGTGGGACTCTTGCCCCGAGGGGAGGGGGAACCAACCTGCCATATGACTTCATCTGGGTCAGAGCCTGGTCCTCCAGCTGGTTGGATGCAGCACTCAAGGGGCGATGGTTTTCGTCACTAGCAGCAAAGAACGAGGCTCTCTGGACTGGAGGCGAGAGGAGAAGCCATTCAGCATCACAGGGAACAGGCCGCCCACGACCACGCCAGCATCACGCTGAGTCTGTGGGCGGCAGGCGTGGGTGTCCTCTCTGCTCCCAGGAGAACATCACTGTTCCAGGCAGCAAGAGGATAGAAGCGCCGCTTCCTTTTCAAAAACACTTGCTGTCCAGACGTTCCTAGCACCCCCTTTTCTCTCTCTCACCAAAGTAGTATTCTAGTAATGTTTCCCTGGAAACGGGCCTTGTGTCAAATTTCTAAACCAAGGCTTTCCACTTAGTGATGATATAAAATGCATTAGGGGGTCTAGATTTAAGCTACTTGAGACTTACTGAAGTACATTTTTACAGGATGCCTAGCTATACTGATGGGTTTTAAACCAAGTACTGACCACCTGTGTTTCAAAATAAACCTGCTAAAAACTTGAGCCAAGGTTACAAAATCAAGCTAGAAGAAAAAATTAAGTTTAAAAAGCAATGAAAACTTTTACCATTTAACATAAAGGAGTAAAAGGCAAATTAAATGGAAAATCAAGTCCTGGGGGAACAGCCATTTGCGAAGGTGGAGATTCATTTTATGGGATCTGATTATAAGGTAAGTTACTATACCAAGATTTCCTGAATTCTGTGACCTCATCAAGTCCTCCTGAAAACCAGCGCCTGGTGGAAACCCTCTCAACTCACTCTACAGAAACATTCAAGCACCCGCAGTTTGGAATGAGAACCCTTGGTCTGTTCAAGAAAAGAGAGCTGACAACCTTCTGGCAACATACTACTTGAGATAGTGATATTTCAGAGTATCTGGCTGGCCCCTGTGTAAGGACCTGCACTTAAGAACAACAGGCCTGACCATCTCTCTACTTCCCTACAACTAGCAGAGCCGAGAAGTGGGAAATAGTTTGATGTGGCAAAGCATATTCTGGTTCTCTAGAAAGCTGCCATTTTATTTATAAAAAAACAGCAGGGCATTTATCAACAGCTCTAACCTGACACCTATGGAAAATCAGTTTGCTACAGAATTAGTTATGCCTACATTCAAACTGGAAATGAATCCATACCTTCGACCATACCCCCGGAAGGAGACCCAACGCACTGCCAGGGGTTGTTCCTCTCTGTTCTGGATTGAGCTGTCTTCCTTCCAGGGCGTGTGTGCTCCAGTGAATCAAATTGCTCTGGGCCCACACCAGCCTGGCTACAACAAGCTCTGAATGGATACTATCAAATCTGCAACCTTTCAAGGACTGTGCTGTCTTATCCCTCATGCCCCTGAAACTCAGATTTTTTCATTTCTTTCCCTTTATTCCCTCATTGTGCATTTTAAAAACACACAAATATTTTACCTTAATTTTCAAAGGCATTGTAGACAATATTAAGGTAAGTTTTGAATTTATTTGTTTTTGAGTCTGCAAAGTCAAATTTGGTCTTAGTGTTACGGCTCACTTGGGAGGAGCATTAAATCTCCCAAAGTCTAAGTGAGGAATGACTTGTCCCACCATTCTCTGCTCCTCTCGGAGGCCCGCATACTCTCAGAGGCTGGCCAGAGCTTCTCGCCCTCTCTCCGTGTTTAACCCTGTGAAATAGGAACGTGTGAGTATCTTCAGATCTTCTTCGATCCTGTTGAATTCATCCGATTGCTATTTTTTATCTTCTGCAAAATGATTAATCTATTTTAACAATAAAATGTACGTCAGGTCTTAATAAAGCAAAATGTACCAGTACCTCTAAGAAACTAGCAGAAGAAAAACCGCCCACGAGCAGGCAGGCAGGAAAGAGTGCGGGCTGGAGACACATTCCCTCACAGGGCCGGGAGCAGTGAGGAGGCCAAGAGCAGCCCCTGTCAGCACGGGGGCTGGGCCCTGCAGGACACGCATCCTCACGTGTCTGACTATGTCGTGCAACCTCTTTATAATGTGACAAAAGACTGGCGCGGGATTCATGTTGTTTTCAGCCAGGCCCCAGCTGGGGCTCCCCCGCCACCGCCTGCCTTTCCCACAGATGACGAGGCGACACTTCCATGTTCTAAACCCCTCTGGAGAGGGAACACTAGGTTCTCGCTGAGTACACCAGGCAACTGCGTGGCCCTACTGAGGGCCGGGTAACTGTCACTGGTTTCCAGCTATGCCACTGTCAGGCACGTGCTGCTGGTCTGCTGAGAGACGCTGAGGGAACAGAGACTTGACCAGAGCGGTCACGCGGCCCTCCACCTCAAGACTCTGCCTGGATCCTCAGTGGACTCACCCTCATAGGCTTTGGCGGCATCCACCAGGTTGGACCAATCCAGATCGGCAGCAGCGTCAGGCAGGGGCATTAGCCCAGGGTCAGGCATGGGCACCCTCCGTGTCTCCTGGACATCGGTGAGAGAACTGTCCGAGGCCGAGAACTCTCCTGCAGGATGAGACAAGGGCTTAGACACTCCCCCTTTCCACAGGAGAGCCACTTACGTCCCATGACCAGGGTGGACGAGCTGGTCATTTGTTAGGAGCAACCTATCTGGCCTGAAAGCACTCCTCGTGGTGCCTGGGGGACGACATGGGATGCTGGAGATAGAACCCGAGCTGGATGCGTGCGAGGCAAGAGCCCTGTCCACTGTACTATGCCCCAGCCCCTCCATTCATGTTGGAGCAACTCCCTCTAGCTCTCTTATGGTAGCGTGTGTCATAGAAAAGTTAGTTTTGCACTGAAACCATGGGTGCTTTTGTGGGCTCTGTCAGAGGGTCTAGGGCAGCACCAGTCAAGGGACTCAGGCTGCAGCGGAAGAGAACTCTTATTTTGGGACCACACCAGCTGGTGTTCAGGGCTCACTCCTGGCTCTGCACCAGGAGAACATAGGCATATGTGGTGCCAGGGATCGAACCCAGGTTGGCTGCGTGCAAGGCAAGTACCCTTCAATGTACTATGGCTCAGGCCCGAAGTCTCCGTTCATTGGAGGACTAGGTTTTAGAGACAAAACAGGGAAGCTCCTTGAGAGGGAACAATAGGAGCCTCTTTACCTAGCACCAGATTTCAGGATGGGACCTGAAATCTGATGCCCTCCTGTGGAGTCCCTTGGTTCCCAGCGACTGGGAGGAAGCAGCCACCAGGCACGGTCCTGATGAGGGTGTGTGAGAGCCACATGAGATGCACGGTTCCACACAGGAGCTGACAAGAGGGTGATTTTAGAATGATGCTGCATCATTCTCATCATTCTCCTTCCCAAGGACACTGTACGGACCTAGTTAAAAGGGTCCTGGGTGTCAAAGGTCTAAGGAAACCATTCTTTTCAGCACAAACATTAAACCATAATAAACCCCTGCTTAGCTAGGGCAAGGGCCCAGAGGGCCAGGGGCAGTCGCTCTGGCATGGGCATCACTCAGCAGGGCCTGGCACGCAGCCTACCAGTGGGGTTGTCTCCAGCATGGGGCTGCAGCATGGAAACCCATGCCAGCTTGGGGCTGGCAGTGACAATCTTGAGTAAAATCCCGAAGCCAGCCCAGAAATACCTGTTTACAAGGAGTTAAGAAGTTCCTTCAATTATGATAGCCTGGTAAACCAGAGTATATTTAGTGCTTGTTTTTCCCTTTCAAATTACATAAAGCACTGCTCTGATGTGCAGCTGCTAGTTATTAATGTGTTTAAAATTAGCAAAATTATGAGTAAATGGAAATCAACAAATACTGCCAGATATTAAATGCTCGGTTCTATTTAAACTTGCTCCCACCAAGGGTAAGTAGGTGGAACAGACAATTTTGAGTGTCACTCACAACCCTCTGCCCTTTTATCTCCAGGGCCCAAATTTCCATATGGGGAGGGAAGGAAGCTGTCCCTCTCCACCCCCAACCCCATTTCAGTGATGTTTAGGCCAAAGGAGGTCAGGCTGATCCTGCAGCCCTACAAGGACTGCACCATGCAAGGTCTGGGACCCAAGGATGCTGCTGGACTTTCTGGCCCTGCTGGGCCTCTGAGCCCAGGTTCCCTGCTGGGGGAGTGGAATTCAGGCTGTCTGCATGGGATGAAAGCTTCCAGAAGCTTCTGGAAGGCAGAACCCCCTTTGACAGGATGCCCGCAGACAGGCCTCCTTGAAGGAATTATTTTTATTGCTGCAAAGGTAGAACTGTGGGAATATGAGAAAAGGATTCCAGGAAGGCTGGAAACTGCAGGGGCAATGGAAATTAGGGGAGAATGGCCCAGTGTTGGGAAAGAAAGAGGGGTCAACAGCTCACTGGCAGGAGGCTATTTCGGGGAGGCTCCATAACAAAAGGGGTCTATCCTACCAGCCTTCAACTTGGGTCAGTGGAAGTGACTTCCTGGGGCAGACAAAGCAGATTCAAGCTGCAGCTGAATGGGGGAAGAAGTGGGTGGGTAGGTGGGTGGGGGAAGCTAAGTGACATTAGCTTTGATTCCAGGCTAAATCCAGACAGAAGAGAGACAGGGTTGGAGCAGTGTGTGTATGATAAACAAGGAGGAACACAGGCTCCATAAAGAGAGATCTGCGGGGTGGTGGGGTGTTGGTGGTGGTGGTGGTGGTGGTGGGGTGTGCATATCCCCAGAACGGAGTGCAAAACTGTCACCTCATGATGCAGCCCACGGGACAATCAAGGCTTCTATGACCCAAATGCAGGCACATGGAGGTGTCCGGCCATCCACAAGTTGTTTTCCTAAAATACTGTGTTTGCTCACTGAATAAATGAATGAATGAGTCAGGCCAAGGAGTGGCTGACGCACAGGCACTACTCGCCCAGCCTGGGAAAGACAGAACAATGGAACGTCTGGGTGTCTGCAGTGCTGGGGGGCGGCAAGCAGGTGGGGACATGTTTTTACGAAATAACTAATTCAGTGTTAACTGTATTTGTCCATTAAAATAGCAAAGGGATGGTTCCGGTGTAAACAGCAATTCCCAGATTACTACCCTGGACCATCAGACCTCGCAGTTCCCTGGCAGATCCGGGACTCTGTTCTAATAAGCGCCCCAGGCCCAGTGAGGCTGAATGTTTATACCATAACGTCTGGGACCCCAGGGAAAAGGATGACGAGGAAGGGTTGGCGAGTGTCTATGGTACAAGCAGGACCTCGTCCTGTTTATCCTTACAGAGATCAAGGTGGCAGCTGTTTCTGGGCCCGTGGGCCACCATCTCCTTACCGTGCAGCGACTTCATCCCCAAGGTGTAAGAAGGCCTCCGTAAAGGAAGTGACTTGGGCAGAGAAGGGTAGGTGCTGCTGAAGAGGACATCGTTGGGAAGGGCCTGGTCCAGCAGGGATGCCCGGGAGGGGAAGAAGTGCTCCCGCTGGCTGCTGTAGATACTCTCGTCTGACAGCGTTCTGTGCAAAGCCCGCCTCGAAGTCGGAGTGGTGGGGAAAGGAGACTGCGGGGAGGATAGCGCATGGAACTGGAAGACATGGTCAGGACAAGCAGGAAGTCAGTTTCTGGCTCTGACACTCATATCCTCATTGGGGGTAGAGGTTGGCTAACTAAGTCACTATTCTTGATACCCTGGCAAGGAATCCAAGGGTCCTCCGCAGACATATCCCACTCATCCTGGAGTTCCTGGTCACAAAGGGGCTAGTGCAGGGCCTGTCACCTATCAGCACAAAGCACATGAGAGCTGTGATTCTGTGGCTTCATCAAAATGGGGTCACAGTTCTAAACGAGATTGGTGACGAGACAGATTTGGTCAGTAGTTGACTCCTGGGCCTTTGACTTCAACCAAGCAGTCTCTCAGAGAAAGGCAACTCTCCCCCTGTGAAGCAGAAGCCCAGGGCCTCGCAGGTGGATGCAGAGGATGGAGCAAAGCCTGGAGCTGGTCATGCTCCAGTGTCTCGGCACTGGATGAAATAATGTCCAGATCTCCTAGGAACGGCCACAGTGCCAGGAGGGGATTGTCAAAGATTTTTCAAGTGACTGCATGCTTGCTGTACAACAAGAGCTATTGATCATATAACCTAGTAACTCAAATAGTAGGTGGCTTCCGTTAACCATCAACTACTAAATTATACTGAATAAGTAGATCTCTTGAGATAGGTCACATTAAAGGAGTTTTGAAGATCATTTAGTTCTGATAAATTACTTCTCAAGAAATAAAAATTTGTGAAATTTTTAGGTATGAATAAAATAAAATAAAAATTCTTGAATTTTTAGGTAGGGGAAATGCCTTTGCAAATGACAAATATTATATAGCTCGTATTCTATGTGCATGGCAACAATTCCCAGTAGTTTTCTATCAAGAATATCTTTTTGGCTTTTATGAATAGGTGAAATTTTCCTTGAGTTTTTTTTTCCCTGTCAAAATAAAACCAAGCTGAGTATCCCGACCACTGAGAAACACTGTATGCATTAACATCTTCCAACGTCCGGTATCCCACTCAATTCCCTAGATGGCTATTTGCGTTTGCAGAGGAACTATGATCACTGTGAAGACGGGGGATGAGGGTTAAGACACCTTTTGCCACTGCAGCAGAGGGGATGAGTGCACTGGTTCATAAAGGAGGTCCTTAGGTGTTCTCCTGTGTTCTATGTGTTTCTGTTCAACAAGCAAAGGGTGAAATACATCAAAGTTACCTGCAAACTGGCTTGAACAGTATGTTCTATATGCAGGTGAAAAATAATTAGCCAAGTGCACTGCAAATAAGCAACTATGTAAAGGGTGTGTTCACTTTCACAAATTCATTGTGAATTCAACTGAGGTAGGTCCATGCTTGCCTAGAAAAGCCAGCTTGGAGCCCTTAGATGGGCTGGTAGTTTAGCCACCTACTACTTGAGTTACCTGGTATAGAAATGAGGGCTTCCCCACTTCCTTTTGTGAAGTTTTCTCAAACAAAATGGCGACTGGGACCAAATGACAACCAGCTGATGAGACAGCAACATTCCCAGAATCAGAGATCACACTGTCTCTAGTGCAGAAGACAGAACTTATGGCCCACCTGGACAGGAAGCCACCAGGATGGATGAGGAACTCCATCCTCTACCGAAAATAGGCCAGACCAAACACAGGTTCCACTGGTCTTTGTTCCCTTCCTCCCTTTTCCCACCCAAGACAACTTTAAAGCCCCCTTAGTCTCCCTCAGGGCATAGCTCTATCCCAGTCTCACCAGAGGTTCATGGAGTTCCACCCAGGAGCATACCCCAATAAACTTCTATTTCCTTCACTTTGTCCCTCTGTCTGCGCCAGACAGGTTCTCAAATCTATCACCTTTGCAGAGAAGAGAGGGCATGGACTTGTAAATAAAGGCCAAACTAGATAGAAACTCCTTGTCTCCTCCATTTGTAAGATTCTAGGACTAGCTTGTCAGGTTCCTGCCTCAAAGCTTTCTATTCAAAAATTGTTCTTCATCTTTGTATTTGTTTGTTTTGTGTTTTAGCACTTTTGGTTCCAGCAAAGTGATTTCCTTATCCAATAACTGTCCCCAACCTGGTCGTCTGACAGAGGAGAAATCATGATTAAGATATTCCACGGAGGAAGGAAAGTAGCTCTCTTTCCTGCAGAAGCACTGTCCTGAAAGGGAGATGGCGGAACAGAAGGAAGCTGGCTGTCACATGAGGACCATGTGAGGACGGGAGCTGATCCCGATGGGCCCTGCTCCACCCCCCAGGTGTGCACACTAGCCCTGCTGCCCTTCGTCCCTCGGACCCTAGTCATGCCTGAGGAGCCAAGGGCACTGCCCAGTGCAGCCAGCTCCTGGGAAAGAATCGGGTGGAGTTGCCCCTCTGGAAGGGATTTTAGAGACCCAACTGGCTAAGGGGTTTTGAAACTGTTCCAAGGAGCCGGCAGGGTTTCTCACAATGGGGCAGGTCAGAAAAGAAGGGGGACCCTGAGCCTATGACAACCTCCCAGCCCCAAAGCAGACAAACGTAGCTTTCTCGGTTTGACATATTAGGCTTCTCTGTGTAATTTTATTTGACAAGAGGTTCCTGAATCTGGCATTCGGCCCCGTGGATGTGCTCTGTTCCTTTATTCCAAAGCCGAGAAAAAGGCCTGGAGAGGAGCCATCTTGCTCCAGGCGTGTCTCTCCTCACTCTTTCCAGTCTCCTTCAGAGCCGGGAAATGACTGTCTGTGAAACAGGTCACCTGACGGGGAGCCAGCAACAGCTGCTCTTCCTCTCCCCGGGGAGCCTGGCGCTGGCTGGAAAGAAGGACCCTGGGTCTACACTCCTGTCGCTTCTCTTGCCAGTCTGTGGCAAGCAAGGGTATCCTGTTATCAGCCTGCCAATGTGGGTTCTCAGGGCGGGACTTCCTTGAGGCAACGACACAGGGCCCTGGAGCTCCTGAATGTGGCCCCATCCTATGACACCTTGTAAGGTGCCCGGTGTGGCCTCGCCTGGTGAGGTGCAGGAGGCTCACAGAAAGCCAAGGTGGGTGAGTGGTATCCAAGCATGACCGCACAGAGCAGGATACCCTACTCCCCACAGGCCGTCTGATGCAGGCGTTTGGAGACTCAAGCAAAGCCTCCTGGAGCCAACTCAAGGGCCTGTGGGCCTTCCTGACGCAGTGAGACCCAGCCAGGCAGACGATGACTCTCTGTGAAGACTTGCAGAGACACTCAGCTGGAGCTACTTAACGGAAGTCAAACCCAAACGAATGAACTGGAGAGAAAAGTCTTTCTCCTCCGCCAACCCCAGCTCCTGCTTCCAGCTTGCTGAGGAGCAGCTTAGCCAGCAGAAGCGTTCTTTGCAGAGGGTCTCACGGTAATAGAGACAAGAAGAAAGTGCACCCTGTTTCAAAGAGGAATGCTAAAGTAATTCATTTTGGAAATAAGAGCCAAGACCTGGAATCAGGGCGAAACAGACATCTGCTTTCAATTATTTCCACTGCCGGAGTAAATCAAATGCAGGAACGTTCTGAGCTTGCCCCTTTCCAAAATAGTTAAATCAAGAACCGGAGGAGAGATTCCATTCAGGGCAAGTTTTATTTTCTTCGAACCTCACAGGAAAAATCTGAAATAATTTTTTTTTTAATTTTGAAATTGGTACTTAACATTTTAAATCCACCTCCTTGGATTTTGATAGATAAAGAAGTTTCAAGCCCTATCTTTTGCGAGGTTGCCAAGGAGACCATTTGTACCCTGGGTGGTGAGTCAGGACTGCTAAGTGCTGGCTTATAAAACATAAATCACAAGGATCAGGAATGGCAAGTCTTTAAAATGATTCATGTTGATGTTTATGTTAATCAATCATTTATTTCTCAATAAAAATCCAGTTTGGTCTTTGGAGCACACTTAGTTTCTGCAAACGTTTACATTTAGGAGATGTATCTGACCTCTGAGGGCATACGCATGCACATGAGCATGAGGGAGAAAGCCCACAGCTCCTAAGGCCCTTGAGATTCTTGTACTCAGCTTAGTTTGAGGTGAACAGTTTAGTTCTCAGAGTCTTTCTTAAACTATGGGGCCAGAGCTGATAGTACAGCAGGTAGGGCGTTTGCCTTGCATGCAGCCTACCCAAGTTCGATGCCTGGCCTCCCTTAGAGTCCCCTGAGCACTACCAGGAGTGCTTCCTGACCTAGGCATCGCCAAGTGTGACCCAAAAAGAAAAAGAGAGAGAAAAAAGAAACTATAGACCATTTAACTAAAAACCTAGAAAATAACAAGAAAGAATCTAGAGGTGAGAAAATGTCAAACTGTACTTCCTGGGGACAGACTCTTGCTCTTGGGGAAACCTAAGAAATTCAGACTGACAGAAACGTCTTCAGCTCAGAGTCAAAGGCCTTAAGGCCCAGCCCCACAGCCAGGAGTCTGGCACTGCTCACTTGAGAGGGCAGAAGGTGAGGAACCCTGTAGGGCTTCATGGTCTTCCCCACCATGGGGAGTGACATTAACCCTCCCATGTGGCCATGCAAGGGTCTGGCCAGTGACAAACACACATGCTAAAAGCAAGTGATGAGCGATGACAGGGGAGGAAGACTGGGGTTTGGAGGTGGAATTCAGAGCCTGGAATCCTAAGAGCAAAGTGAAGGCCTTATGAACTAAAGAAAGTCTGGAAGGTTCTGAAAATGAGGGTGTAGACTTAGTTTCCTGGACTGAACAGATGGCTTAGGAGTATGGGGAGAGTGTCCATCAGGCAGGACTCTCAGTGACTGAGGGGCCGACAGGGGACACCATGGGCAGCAGCTGGGAGTAGAGCAGCTGGGCTGTCACCTAGGGGCTCTGTGTGGTAAGAGGACCTGTCAGGCAAGGCTCTTACAGGAAAGTTCCTGACAAGAGAGCCACAGGCATCTTTGCAGAGATCGGAGAAGCGAATCATGTTCCAGGAATGTCTACCCCATATGGTCTGGGACCACAGGGGAGAGAGTGACTAAGCACTGTGGAGACCAGGAGGTGGTGGGAGGTGGGGAACAGACATTCCTGGGTGAGAGTGACTGCGGTAGGCAGATCAGCCGAGAGGTGTGTCCCTGCCACAGTCGACCTCTGCCCATACCTTGAAGTTCTTCTGGGATTCCGAAGTTGGGCTTTCCAGATCAATGAGTTTCTTGAGATCTTCCTCAATAGTGGACTTGGAGGCTGGCTTCGGAGATGCCCGCAGGTCCCTGGTTGAGGCACGCAGCCTGGTGTGGGCTATTTCATTACCATCACTCTGGTGACGCCTTGAAGAAAGAGAGCAAGAAGCAGAAACTGAGTGGACAAGATGGACTCAAGGGTTGTGAAGTATGTAAGCCAATAACAAAGTATTAAAGGAGACAAAAGATTTCCTTCTGTTCAATTACATTAGAATCTACTCGGATAATGCTTGTTTAAAGAAACATAACCAACTTGAAAGACAAAATTAAAAGTCTGATGAACTAATTATGCTTTTGCAGGAAACTCTTAGCTCTACTAAGCCAAAATTAGCAACAGACTTATTAATAAAAGACCACAAGGCAGGAATCCCAAATGCAACCTCTTTATGCACAAAAACAGAATTTTTTTTTCTGTACTATTTTGTTAAAAAGTTGTTTATATTCAGGATATGTCGCTTATTTTCAAATATCCCCTCGGGTGCTTCCTGGCCCAGTTAAGAATTCCATGGGAAGGCTACGACTAATATCATCAAAAGTACAAATGCAATTTTAGTACCAGAGGGGCAATTACCCTGAAATCTGCTCTTCATACACATTTTTTCCCTTAGGAGATCTAAGATTCTCAAATCAGAATGTTTCACTATACAGGAACATATGTGGTATATTAGGGATCAAACTGGATTGGTGGCCTGCAAGGCAAGCGCCTTACCTTTTGTACTATCTCTCTGGCCCCAACATCTTTTTTAATGAATGAAGTGGAGCAATGATTTAAGACAAGTTTTACTCAGGGAAAGGAGATCTCTTTAACACCCTGTTTCACACCCTCCATAACCCCCCACACCCCGTCTGCTGTAGGAAACTTCCCAATCATTTCTGTTCTCCATCACGTTATAAGTAAATCATTCAAGCAAGAGATGCAAAAGAATTCTTACTTTCTTGTGTCCATAAATCCCACTGAGTTGATGGTTCCTTCGGGTTTTTTCCATCCAATGAGGTACTTGCTAGTAGCGCCCTGGCGAGGGTAGAAAGTCCTGGGACCCGACGAAGAGGAGGAGGAGGAGGAGAAGGAAGGTGCCAGCTGAGAGGCTGCCACAGGGTGAACCTCCTCTTTAGGTGAACTTCGGGCACTGGAGAAGACAACTGGGCTGGCAGAGTGCCGGGAGCTCATAGTACTGGGGAGAAGCAGGGCAAAGACAAAAGAATCAAATGTGCATTCTAGGGTCAAATAAGCAGCTATAAAAGGGTTGTGTGGGACCGGGGTTATATCCAGGTTAAAGGATGCAAAGCGTTTCATAAAATGTTAATGGGGATGACTGGCTGGCCTTCCTTGCTGTCTCACTTTAATTTACATGTCTGCTGTCAAAGTGACAGATGGTCACTGGGACTTAGTTCACACAAAAGTCGAAATAGCTGAGACTGTCAGGAACATTGGAACAGGCAGCCACTGCTGACATTTGTGTTGGTGAAGTCTAGAGGCGGCATGTGACAGGAGAGCTGTCAGTGAACTCTGGGCACACTGGCTGGCTGTGGTGCCCTCCTCAGGAAGAGGCCCCGGTGCTGGGTCCCAGGCCAGGCTGAGGAGGGGAAGGATTGTGTGTGGTCACTCACACAGCTCTCCCCGCACTTTTAACCCAAGGACAAGGGGGCAAACCGAATCCCCTTCTGCAAAGCCATGGGCATCAATGATTACTTTCTAAAATCTTTTTATCAGAATGAAGCTGGTCCACAAACTTAGCACTACACTGTAGCACTGTCCTCCTGTTGTTCATCGATTTGTTCGAGTGGGCCCAGTAACGTCTCCATTGTGAGACTTGTTATTACTATGTTTTGGCATATTGAGTACGTCATGGGTATCTTGCCAGGCTTTGCCGTGTGGGCGAAATACTCTGGTAGCTTGCCGGGTTCTCTGAGAGGGGTAGAGGAATTGAACCTGGCTCAGCCCAGCCGGCTGCGCGCAAGGCAAACAGCCTACCGCTGTGCTATTGGTCCACAAACTTAGCCGCCACAAAATCAACTTAAAATGAAATGAAGACAAATGCAATACATAGAACTCTCAGATGGAAACATTAGGAGTACATTTCTTGATGCTGTTCTCGGCCATGATTTTTTGGATTGGATACCAATAGCAAAGGCAGCAAAACAAAAAAAGAAACAAGTGTGCTTACATGAAATCAAAATGTTTCTACAGCCAGGGGAATACTCAATAATGTAAAAGGGCAACATATGCGACGGCAGAAAATATTTACAAATCACATATCTGATAAAAGTAAAATATCTAAAATAGGTATTTTTAAAAAAAAACTCAAATAACTTGATAGAAAAAAAATAAACTAAAATTAAACTAACCCAGTTGAAAAATAAGATCTAAACAGAAAAGCTTCTAGTAAGAGTAACAGATGACTAGCAGGTACATGCAGAGGTACCAACCGTCACTAATGAAAGAGAAAGAGCTCAAACCCACAATGAGGTCTCCTTTCCTACCTGGCAGAATAGTTACGATCAAAGAGACAAGAGAGAGCAAGGAGGTGGGGGGATGTGGAATGGGAACACGGCCTCAGCCGATTAAAAATGGGCTGGGGAGACTGTTGTGTGGTCAGGAGCAGGGCACCACATGGGCCCTGAGTGCCAACTCCCAGGACAGCCCTGCTGGTCCTCAGGGCCCCTGGTCCAAACAGGACCACACAGCAGTGTTTGCATGTAGAACTATCTGGCCTGGTTTGCTGACTATTGCTAGTGGTTGTCGGTAGGGGACCCTGAGCACTGCTTGGGAGGCCCAACAAAAATCAAACACTGAACTATCTAGTCATTTAATTCTGGTCATGTATCAAAGGAAACAAAATGATGAACACAAAGATATCTATGCAGCTCAGTGTTTACTGACGAGAATTTTGAGTACAAAATTCACTCTAGCTAACGAATGGAAACAGTCTACGTGTTCAGTCACGGATGGGTGAAGGGAGAAGGCTATGTATGTATGCAGACACATGTATATTTATACACATGTTTACACACGCAACAAAACATCATTCAGTAACAGACAGAAGGAAATTCTGCCAACTTTGACCACATAAACTCTGAGCATCACTGGATGTCCCCCTGCTTAAAAATAAATGAAAAGGTTGTTTTAAACTTTACTTCACTGTCCTCCCGTTGTTCATCGATTTTGCTCAAGCGGGCACCAATAACGTCTCACTGTTACTGTTTTTGGCATATCGAATACATCACGGGTAGCTTGCCAGGCTTTGCTGTGGGGACGAGATACTCTCGGTAGCTTGTCGGGCTCTCCAAGGTGGGGGGGGGGGGGTGGTGGAATCGAACCTGGGTCGGTTGCATTTAGAATATTAAGGTTCTATTCCTCCTCAGCCTGTCGAAATGTGAGGCCTCCTCCATTGTCACATGCTGGGGATCTAAAGATAATGTCGGGGCATCGAGGGTGCTGCTGTCAGTCCCCAGAAAGCAGAGATGCGGGAAGCCCGACTGCAGTCACAGAAGGAGACCACCACATGCCGCACACACAGCCTGAACCAGTGTGTACTTCCAACTCTGCCAGTCACAGGGTTCCCAATCAGAATATAGTTAAAGTCAAGTTAAAAAAAAATCCCAAGCTCAGTTGTGTTTGCCAGCTAAATGCTAAGATTTCTTGACAGTTTATTGTCAAAAAAGAAAGAAATTTATGTGAAGATACTTCACAGTTTCATGTTTTAGCTGCTTCCAGGTTCTCTAATGACAGTATTATAATAGAAGATTCAGAGAGCACACAGAGAACAGCTCTCCAAAATGCAAATCCCATGGGGCTGGAGCAACAGCACAGTGGGTAGAGCGTTTGCCTTGCACGCGGCCAACCTGGGTTCGATTCCCAGCATCCCATATGGTCCCCTGAGCACTGCCAGGAGTAATTCCTGAGTGCATGAGCCAGGAATAACCCCTGTGCAATACTGGGTGTGACCCAAGAAGCAGAATAAAAAAAAAAGACCAGCCAGCCAAAAAAACCCCAAACAAACAAAATGCAAATCCCTGTTAATTCTCTTATCAAAGCAATGTTAATTCTCACATCAAAGCAATGTTTCTTTGGTAGCTATCCTGACAACCTTTGGGGAACCATATGGGGTTCTGAGGATCGAACTTGAGTCAGCTTCATGCTATGCAAGCCTTCTACCGTCTGTATTATTGCTTCAGCCCTTGCCTTTTTCTTGTGTGTGGATATTGGTAATATACTGAAAGACCTATCTCCACTAAAGGTCTACATTCTAATAAATTTTTTTTCCCCCTCCGCTTTTTGGGTCACATCCGGCGATGCACAAGGGTTACTTCTGGCTCTGCACTCAGGAATTACTCTTGGCGGTGCCCAGGGGACCATATGGGATGCTGCGAACCGAACCCGGGTTGGCCAGTGCAAGGTAAACACCCTACCTGCTGTGCTATCACTCCAGCCCTCTTTTAATAAAGTCTTTATCTCTAAATTTATCTCTAAATTGATCTTCACAGGCTGTAATCTAAGGGTGGATACTTTGTTTATTCTTAGGTAAAGGTAAAAGGTAAAGGCCCTCCCGTTGATCCTCGATTTGCTCGAGCGGGCCCAGTAACGTCTCCATTGGAGACTTTGTTGTTACTGTGTTTGGCATATCGAATACTCTCGGTAGCTTGCCGGGCTCTCCGAGAGGGGCGGAGGAATCGAACTCGGGTTGGCCATGTTGGCCGCTTGTAAGGCGAATGCCCTACCTGCTGAAGAATACCTAATTTATTGGCCTGAATGAATTGCAGAGATTACAGAGTATCTTTTAAGATGAGCACTACTACATCTTTTTATTTTCTTTTTGGGTCACACTCAGCAGTGCTCAGGGGACCAGAATTGAACATGGGGTTAGCAGTCTGCAATGCAAGCACCTCAGCCTCTGTGCTATCTCCATGGCTTCTCTATGGAGAAGCATTACTTCTCCAAAAGAAGGTGATAAAGATAAAAATCCTTAAATATTTTGGGAATAAGATTTGTGCTATGTTAACTTTACTTAAAAGGTTGGAGAAAGAGCTCAATGGGCTGAGCTCTGCATATACACTTAGTATGTGAGAGGCCCCAATTTGATCCTCAGCATCACACGGCTCCCACAGTATGGCTCACCCCTGAGCATCAAACTGGGAGCAGCCGCTGAGGAGCCCCAAACCCAAAATAGCCCAAAGAAACCTCAAAGAGAACAAAGCTAATGTCTACAGGCCTCAAGAATGCCATTTGTAATACTCAGAATATAAGATATTTACCGAGGATGAGAATTTTGAGTACAAACATGGTGAGCTTTTAATAGTAGCATTTCTAGACTTTTTTCTCAGTGATCTCACAGGATCCAAGTTCATACTATTTGAGATCTCCTGAATTCTCCACTTTAGGTTGAGACCAAAGAGACTGGGCTCTTACTATGAAGGATGTCCTTATGAAGTCCTAGTTAATAATATGCCAATATTGACCCCTCAGCTATGACAAATGTACCATTGTCATACCGGATGAGGACAACAGGAGAAAGTGGGTCAGGGGGACATAGGAATTCTCTTTAAGGTCTGTAGATCAAAAACTTTCTATAGATCAAAAACTATTCTAGAATTTGAAGGCTCTTAGAGTAGATGAAATATATGTAGACCATCTATTCACTAATAGATTTATGTCCATAATATATAACTAAATCTTAAAACTCAACAAGTCAAACAACCCATAAGAAATTGGGCAAAGATAGGAAAAGGAGTTTTATGAAAAAATTTTTCATGAAAACTTTCAAGACTTTCATGAAAAAAGATTTTCAAGAAAATCTACAAAACACAGATTAACACTGGTGTTCAACATCATTTACCAGAAAAATGTATACTAATGCTCCAAAGAGGTATCAGCACATATACATGAGAATGGCTAAAATAAAAAAGATTTATGTCAATGGTGAGAAAGAATGAGAAAAATAAGAGAAACTTTTACACAGCTGATGTATTACTTGTTACAACCACTTTGGCAAACTGGTTCACAGTCTCAATTTATGTTTAATGTAGACATATTCTGGGCTGGAGTGATAGCACAGCGGGTAGGGCGTGTGCCTTGCATGTGGCCGACCTGGCCGACCTGAGTTCGATTCCTCCGCCCCTCTTGGAGAGCCTGGCAAGATACTGAGAGTATCTTGCCCGCATGGCAGAGCCTGGC